TCCCTTCTACAGTGTTGATGACAATGTCAGCCAGTGCTCAATGCTCCCTTCTACAGTGATGATGATGATGCCAGCCGGTGCTCAGTACTTCCTTCTTTGCAACAAGTTAGCATTTAGTGAGCCCTTCCCCTGTATCATTCACAATGCCAGGCGGTTGCCATGGATACTTATGCAGTTCTTACAACAATCCTCTTCGGTGGGTGCAACAATAATCTTTATTATAAAATGAGAAAATTGAGGCACAGAAAGGTCATAACCTGCACACAGTTCATGGAGGCAGCACACACCCTGAATGCAGCCGACTGACTGCAGCCGCTGCCCTGTGAGCTCCCAGATAAAATACGCCAACCAGGAAGGGCTCAGGTGCAACCTGTGGTCTCAAGTGAAGACTCTTGCATGGCCCACTTGCAGGCTGACAAACAGTCTGCTACTGTCTCTCTATCAAAGACAGCACCTGTCAGACATCCCTCAGACCTTTACTTATCACAACCCAAAGCAACTTCCACCTGTCCCTGTCCCCTAACTCCTGAGCTAAACAAGAGGAAAGAAGAGTCATGGAGCTCACAGAGCTCAGAACCTATATCTGAGTTACAGGAATGCTTGTTGATGCTCATCTTTCCTCCAAAAGAAGAGACCTTAGTATATCAGTGGAGATGGCCCAGGCAGGCCTTGATCTCACGGCAGTCCTCCTGCCTCAGGTCCTGAGTGCTGAGGTTACAGGCATGAGCCCTGTCTAGATGTTTGCTGTTGAATGTAAACCTATCTTGTCTAAGGAGGGGGTAGGAAGATGTGTACATTACCACCCTAGGATGTCAGCACAAGTCTTGAGGACGTAGCCTTAAATCTTTCTGGTGCCTAAACTTCAGTTGATTTTTATTTAACTACTTTGTCTTTTCCTTTCTTTTCTTTTAAGATTTACTTTTTTATTATGTATAGTGTTCTGCCTGTATGTATACCTGCATGCCAGAAGAGGGTGCCAGATCTCATATGTGGGCCACCATGTGGTTTCTGGGAATTGAACTCAGGACCTCTGGAAGAGCAGCCAGTGTTCTTAACCTCTGAGCCATCTCTTCACCCCCCCCCCACCTACTTTTTAAACCCAGTTTACATACCATTTTTTGAAGCAGAATCCTTGGTCATGCTGAAAAGGAAGGAAAATCTTCTCATAGCACTGCCCATGGGCAGAATCTAGGCAAGGGTTACACTGTCAATATGGCCTGCTTTATACTGTTTTTTGGGACACATACCCCCCACTAGACAATTGTCACACTCTTGGGAGACAGGTACCTGGCTTATACATTCCTGTACATAGGTCTCAGGGGACCATGGGGCAAGTTCTCAATGAGTCACATATGCTAAAATATATTTTTGGATATTTCACAAAATGATCAATGCTGTCTCAGTCTTTGTGGCCCAGTTCTAGATGTTTCTTTCCCTTTGGAGAGGGCCACCCCCTGTTCTCTCTGGTTTCCCTGGAGCTTGGACAAGACTGTGAACTGCTGATACAAAAATCCATGTACCAGCAGGGTGGTGGTGGCACACACCTTTGTTCCCAGCACTTGAGAAGCAGAGGCAGGTGAGACTCTGAGTTCAAGGCCAGCCTGGTCTACAGAGCAAGTTCCATAACAGCTAGGACTGTTACACAGAGAAACCTTGTCTCGATAAACTAAAACCAAACCAAACCAAAACAAAAATCTGTGTACCAAGTAAGGAGGACACTAGGCGCCTACATTGGTTGCCTATCTCATGGTATGATCACAAACACATCCTGACAGTCTCTGAGTCTTGACATCCTTGCCTGAGAAAGCAGATGTGTGAAACAAACAGTTTATGGAGGAGAGAAGAAGCAGATGGCTCCCAAGGAAGCGCTAACTGATGAGAGTAGAGGCAGGGAGAGCTGTTGAGGGTGTTGGGGGAAGAAACAAGATCTTTATTCCCTTGATCGGCAGGAGAGACTCAGACAGTAGGGAGAGGAGATATGGCTAAAATGATGGGAGAGAGGAAGAGGGAGACAGGAAGAGAAGAAGAGGGAGGGAGGGAAAGAAGGAGGGAGACATGGGAAAGGGAAGAAAAGGGAAAGGAGAAAAAGAAATGAGAAATGAAAGTAGGAAGCTTTTGGAAGCAGCTCCTAGATAGACTGAAAGGAAGCCTAAGGCACCTACCACCGCTGGCGTTTGTCTCCTGAAGTAAGAAGGCACAGGATCTTGAATATGATGCCCACCTTTCTGCCAACTCAGAGCGAGGGTCGTGGTCTGTTCTGTTGGAGGCCTGTTGATGGTGATGGGCTTTTGTTGTTGTTGATGGAAACCCACAGGAGAACGACGGTGTGCGGTACTTGGCCTTTGTTCTGTTTGGGCAATTGGCTGCATTTGCTGGGCGGAAATGGAAGAAATTTTTCACTGACCAGGTTAACCAGACACAAGATTCCCTCCTGACCCATTTAGAGGACAAAAGCCCTCAAGTGGCCAAGGTGAGACAGCCATTCTTCACTCATTTTGTGAAATCTTTGCTGTCCTTGGAGGGGGTGGTGGCACCTCTGCTAAGTGGAGAAGCCAGGCCCAGGAGTTCCTGCCAGTTAGAATGACCTGTACGGTATCTATGTAAAGCAAAGGGGCCTCCAGGGTGCAGACACCCCACTTCCGTTTTGACCTGTCTCTGCCCAATCAAATACCCACTGGTGCTAGCAAGATAGGGAAGACCAAGTCCCCAAGGATGATGTGCAAAGAGTTCTACAAAATCATCTTGGGGGAGGGGAGGAAGAGAGAGTGTGGATGAGTGCAATTGTGAGCGGGGCTGTGCACATGGCAGAGCTGTGCCCTCTCCGTGTGCCACGGCCATTCCACGAACAGAAATCCTTCAAGTTTCAAGCTCACAAATAACCTGAAAATTACGTTGGTGGCTCTGACCTTAGATTGGCTACAGTCCTGTGGATCACCTTCCCTGCCCGGAACTCTAGAATTCTCTAATAGTCAATTCTAGAATTCTCTAATAGGCAATTGGATGGCAATGTTATTTCCCTCAGGCTTGCAAAACGACTGTGCGAGCCTGTGTTCCGTACCTGAAACCCAGGAAAGAGCAGCGTTTCCAGAGTGAAGAAGATCGGCGGAACCCCAGACTTTCCCGGCAGCTGGTGAGTGGGTCAGGGCAGTAGAGAGTTCTCTTGGGAGTCCCTACCCTTCAGGCACTTAACACCGGAAGTGGCCCAGTGCAACAGGAAGTTGCCTCCTCCTGCTTCCTAAAACAGCTCAGGCTGGTATGGCAGTTGCAAAGTATCCACAGAGCAACATAAAGGGCAGGATTCCTGGAAGATGATACAATGTTACCATTCGCTCAGTTCTAGTCATTGGCAGCTTCCTCTCCTGCGGCTTCTCCTGGTGTCCTGCCCGCGACCTCCCTCACACACACCTTTTCTAATCTCTTCCAGAGCCATTATCATCCCGAGGTCCTGCTGTTCTTCTATGCCAATAAAATCCTCTAAGTCCAGAGCGGCAGAGAAAATGACCCGTGTGAGTGCCCTGCTCCGGGCATCCCATTCCCTCTGTTCTGTCTCGTTGGGTACCTCTTTGACTTTGATAGTAACAAGAGAGGACGTCAGAGAGCTACTGAGGGCAAAAACAATCTCCCTGGAAGTGTATCTCTGCATCTCTGCACTCAAAGTAAAATTCTACATTACTTTCACAGATCTCATTTCTTCCCTATACAAAGAAATTTGTTGAGAGGTACATTCTTCCTTTTCTAAATTTGTGTGTGTGTGTGTGTGTGTGTGTGTGTGTGTGTGTGTGCCTGCACAAAAATGCACATGATTGTGGAGGTAAGGACAACCTCAAATACTGTTCCTCAGGTATCATCCTCCTTTCCACTGAAACAGGGTCCTCAAACAGCCTGGGGCTTGCAGATTAGCCTTGATGGCTGGTGAGCCCCCATTATAACTACATTCTGGTAAACCCAGCTTTTTTTTTTTTAATTCTTCTCTCATATATTATATCACTCATATATCTCAACCATAGTTTCCCCTTAAACCATTCTTCTCAGTCCCTTCCCCCACCCCCTCTCTTCTCAAGATCCACTACTCCTCTGTTGAGAGAGAGAGAGAGAGAGAGAGAGAGAGAGAGAGAGAGAGAATGCAGGCCTCCCAGGGATTTCAACCAAACACAGCTTAACAAGTTACACTAAGCCCAGGCACAAACTCTCATGTCAAGACTGGATGAGGCAGCACAGTTGTAGGAAAAGGGTCCCCAAAGCCACAGGGGTTGAGAACACAGCCCACAGAATCAACCAAGCAGGGCTCATAGGGCCTCACAGACACTGAAACTGCAAACACGGACCTTATGGGTCTGATAGGTTCTCTGCATACATGTTATGGTCGTGTAGCTTGGTGTTCTTGTGGGACTCTCAACAGTGGGAATGGGGAGTGGGTAGGTGGGCGTCTCTGACTCTTTTCCCAGCTCTTAGTTTATTTTTATTTATTTATTTTTTTAAATAAGGGTTCTGGGGTCAAATTTAGGCCCTTGTAACAACTGAGCCATCTCCCTGGCCCAATAGATGCACAGTTCCTTAAAGACATTTAATATGCATGGTGTCCCAAAGCACCTAGCTCTTCTCTGTCAGGTGTAATATGCATTTCTAATATGTAACCTCTGAGGCTTGGGAGACTAACTGCTATTATAAACATTTTAAAAATTATTTGTTTTTGATGGTTTGCTATTTGCTGTTGACATCTTGTTCAGATACAGGAAAGTAGTTTGCGAAGTGTCTTCATTTTCTCAAGATCTTAAAATGTCATTGTCTTCAAGATAATCTTTTTAAAAACCAACAATAAAAAGAAATATTGCTAAAAATTCACAGGATGATGACAACTTACAGAATAAAAACAGTAATATTTATTGAGAGTGCTTACGACGTGTTGGGTACTGTGGTGGTCTGAATGAAAATGGCCCCACAGGCTCATATATTTGAATGCTTGGTTCCCAGTTAGTGGAACTGTTTGGGAAGGACTGGAAGACAGGTCTTTGTTGGAGGAAGTGTACCACTGAAGGTGAACTTTGGATTTCAAAAGCCCACGTCAGGTCCAGTGTCTCTTTTTCTGCCTATTGCCTGTGGGTCACGATGTGACGTTCTCTACTCCTGCTCCAGCACCATGCCCGTTGACTTCCTGCCAGGATGATCATGGACTAACCCTCTGGAACTGTAAGCAAGCCCTAGTTAAATGCTCCTTTTCATAACAGCTGCCTTGGTTATGGGGTCTCTTCAGAGCAACCGAATAGTCACTAAGACAGGCACTAATAACTTTTTGAAAGTATCATATACAACAACTGTATACAGCAGGTGCTAATATTTATTTATTGGGAGTGGGCACATGCCACGGTGTCTACGGGGAGGTTGGAGGACAGCTGGAGGAGTCAGTGCTGTCTTTCCACCATGGGGGTACCAGGAGTCAAACTCAGGTGGTCAAACTTGGTAGCAAGCACCGTTTGTGTGCTGAACCATCTCGCTGGCCCTGAGAGAAGTGATATTACAGTTTTCATTACCTGGATGAGAAAACAGAGGAAATTAAGTAACTTGCACAAGATAAATAGTAGGACCAGACCTTAGAGCCGTGTGATCAGATTTCTGGGAAAAGAACTCAATTCTCCATCGCATCATTGGCGGGTGGTTAGAAATGCAAAAAACAGACAGTGGCCACTTCCACTCACTTCTGTTCTTCTGCTCAGGCCAGGGGCATTTCCGAAGCTTGCCTGCGGCAGAAAGCCCAGTTTTCAGCAGGTCAGAGAGACCGGAGAGAGGATGTGGACCAGGCAAGCTATGGGAACAGGCACCCAGTCACACAAGAACTTTTTCAGAGGGCCAAAGTTTAATTCTTCATTTTAGTTTTCCCTCTGCTGGTTGTTCATTTTACTCTGTTTTTTTCTCTGTTCCGTTTTTTTTAAAATCTTGTTTTAATTTTATTTTTTTTCTTCCCAGTTGTTCTCCTTGTATATATTTTTTGATATAATCCTTTTAACTCTTTTCCGATATCTTTTTTTTCTATCTCTCCCCGGATGGTTCCCTTCTATTTTTCCCAGATGTTTTTCTCCCACATCTTTCCTTCTCATTCTATCTCTTGCTTTTTTCTTATCCCCTTTATATCTCCTAAGACAAAGATTTCTATGCAAGAAAAATATTACCTCACAGCCACAAGTTACATAGTCTCCAGAGACAGAGTGATTTCTTTACACCGGAAGAGGTGGCATTAAGATTGGAAGCCCCCAAGTTTTTCTTAGAAGTTCACAGAAGTCAAACATTTTTCTTTATCCCAAAGTCATGATTCTTTTGTAATTGATTAACAAAGTTTTAAGCAAGCTAAGTATATTTCAGTAAGCTTTCTTTCTTTCTTTCTTTCTTCCTTCCTTCCTTCCTTCCTTCCTTTCTTTCTTTCTTTCTTTCTTTTTTTGGTACTGGCAGGCAGCGGTGACAGTTTCAGTGTAATCAATTTCTATTCTTAATTTTACTCTAGAGAAACTGTAGACAAGAGGTCAGTTTGTCGTATATTTTCCTTTACACACAATAGGTCCATTTAATTTCCTTTTACAACTTTGCTTTTTCAAGGTGAAAACTGGGGTCTGTGATTAATTCTGTAAGTTACGTGACCAAGGAATAAGCCCAACCTTGGTGTAGAGACATAATTGTTCTCTTCAATCATCAGCCTGTTTTCCCACAGGCAGAATTCCTGTGGGTCTATAATGCGTGAAAATTCCTTGTTCTTATTTTTTGATACTCTGCAAATCTTATATATAACAAATAATAAGGTGAATTTTAGCTTATTTTTGCCTTTTTTGGTATCTCTTATTGGAGCAATTGTCAGAACAATATAAATCATGTCCCTACTCATCTTTACTAACTCTCCTAACTACCCGTATCTTTTGGACTAACTCAGAAAGTCCAATAAAACCATAGCTATAATTAATCATCTTATAAAAAAATCATCTTTACTATAATCTGCAAGTAAATTATCTAGTGAGCCATGGGATTTTCCAAAAAACAATCACACTATACTAGATACAGTAGGATCCTTCCAAGTAGCAATCACAGCATGCCAAACACAGCAGGAACACAACAGCAGCAAGCAGGAGGAAGCATAGCAGAAGCAAGGGGTGTTCTGGGACAATCCACCAGGGCTTCACCTCTCCACCATGCACCCAGAGTAGCTTTGCTGACCTCTGAGCTGTAAGCTCCATTGCTGACTGCAGCTCCTCTGACATGGCCACCGGCACTCGCCTATACATACATTCCAAATCTATACTTGATTAATTGAACTAAATAATAGAATAATACATAATTATTAATAAAACTATATGCTTTTATTAATCATTATTGATTAATGTGCTGATGTTTTGGTGACCTATCCTTACTATCTGAAGAGTCTAATCACACTTATAAAAATTATATCCAGGTGCAGTGATGTGCATACTTCTAGTCCCAGCTGTTTGGGAGAATGAAGTGGAAAGATCATGTAATGGTGTGGGTTCAAGACTGGCCTGGGCAGCATATTGTCTCCATCTCAAAACAAATATCTTTCAAGAATGCATTGCTTCGTCGCTCCTTCCTACCAATCAGGCTTTCCTCACTGCAGTTCTGATGACTTCATGGGGCATGGCCACTCCTGGAACATTGTGTTCAGTTCGAGAACTGGAAAGATCAACAAGGCTAGAGAACACAAGAGGTTATCAAAACACCAAGGGGTCTGAAGAGTCATTCTCGGAACTGGGAGATCAGTTTCTATGCTGTCCCCAGACATGTAGAGGTGAGGGTGTTCAGGAGTGTCCAGGGAGAGAAAGAATGCAGGCAGAGATGGCAGAAGTCAGAGTAGGTGCCAAGAACCTGTAGTATAGACAGAGGCTGCTCGCTCATTTCCCAGCTGCCCTGACCTGAAATAACCACACAAAAACTGTATTAATTACAATACTGTCTGGCCAATAGCTTAAGCATATTTCTAGCTAGTTCTTACATCTTAAATTAACCCCTTTTTATTATTTTATATTTACCTCGAAGCTCATGGTTTACTGGTAAGGTTCTCAGGTATCTCTCTTCTTCAACAGCTACATGGTGTCTCCCTGACTCCACCTACTCTCTCTATATCTCTGTTTGAATTTTTTGCCTGGTTTTACTCAGTTAAGCCATTGACTGAAAGCAGCTTCTTTATTAACCAATGGTAATAAAACATATTAACAGCATATAGAGGGAAATCCCACATCACCTCCCCTTTTCTGTCTAATTAAAAAGGAAGGTTTTAACTTTAACATAATAAAATTACATATAACAAAACAGTTATCAAGCAACAATTGTGATTACAATATTTATATCTACTTCATCTTTTATCATAGCTAAGGAAAACTATAATTATAACATCTACTCTTAAACTCCAGAAGTATATATTACCTAAGTAAACAGGAAGTATATTGTAAACAACTTCCAAAACTCTAGAATTGGCAGAGACATCTTGCTGCCTGAACAGTCTCCCAAAGTTCTTCTGTAACACTGGGGCATCCATCTTGAGCCTACAGGCCCATAGTATCCAGCAGACTTTTCCATGAGGCAGGTAATTTCAAAGACAGTTCCACCAATATTGGCAGTTTGTCAGTCACTTTCTTGTGTGTACTGCAGAATGCCTGTCAGACTCTTTCATGAAGCAGGAACCCTGA